CGTCCAGCTCCTGGGGCGGCGCGCACCAGTCGCCAGCGACGGTGGAGGGCGCCGAGAGGCGGCGCAGGCATTCCGCCGGGCGCATCAGCCTCTGGTAGGGCACCTGCAAGTGGTTTTTGAGGTGCTTGCGGACTACATGCGCGCCGAGCTGATGACGATACTCCAGGGGGGCCCGTGCTCACGTGGATGGCCATTGACCATGGTGGTATGATGCTGAATCCGCGCTTTGCGGGACATCCGCTGACCGACGTGGCGGACAGATACGCCTGCGCGAAGATACCGACGCCCGCCGACGGATGTCGTGACTGCAACCTTCGACAAGGTGAGATGGACGGGGCGGCAGCCGTGATAAAAAGGCCCACGACTGTGCAACATCCAACGCTTCGCGATTCAGCTTGAGCTCCAGTGTACATGCAATTTGGGCGCCCTCCACACCTTCAACCCACAACTACTGCAACGATGTCCAGCAGGACCCAGCGAAGCTGATTGCGCCCATCCTCGATTGGCGCGCCCCCACGCAGAGTTCGTCGTCTGATAGAAGCGCCTCGCAGGCCGCAGCGCTGTCCGTCTCCATGGCGCCTTCTGTTGGTCTTGTGGGGGTACCTGGAGCAGCGAGATCGCTGGGACTGGTGATGGTATAACTGGTACTGCGGCTGCGCCTGTGACTGTGAGGCGAAAAGCGTCTCCTTGAAAAGCGTCGCGTGTGCCCAGAGCCTTTGTCGGTGCCGCCATGCTTGACGGTGCTGCTGCTGCTGTTGCCAGTCCTGCGAGGGGGCGTCCGAGCTCCAGGATGTTGGCCACAAGCGAGTCGAGGAGGTGGCCACCAACCGCGTCTCGCGATTGGCCCTGCTGCGCAGACTGCCTGCGCCGCCGCGGCCACGGTCTCCATGTTCTGTGCAGGGGCGCAGCCATGGTCGATTTTGCCTTGGCCGCGGCCGAGTTGAGCGGATCAATGTCCTTGCCGACCGCCTCGAGCTTGGCCTTCGCGTCGCCCAGCTGCTGCTTGAGGTCGGACACCTGCTGCGCCAGCTTGTCCCGCTCGGCCTCCTTGGGTCCGAGCTTGCCCATGGAGCTGCGCAGGACGTCCTCGGGGGCCATGGGGTCGCCCTCTTCCTGCTCAGCGCGTGCCGTAGCCGCCGTGGACACGCGCGTGATCCCGTTGGACTCGTCATGCATGCTGCAGACGGCGCAAGGACTGACTGGCGTGCCTGCAGCGTGCCACCTCGGTGACGGCAGGCTTGGGCTGAGCGTCCTTGCCTGAGCGCAAACACCACGGGAGGGGGGCCGACTGCCGCTGCGCCCGCCGTCCTTGTCATGGCCGCACTTCCAGCAGCCCGTCTTCGAGGCGGAGTTGTTCTTGACGCCGCAGGCCTGGGTGGCTTTGCAAACCCACGTCCCGCAGTCCTGCTGCTTCCACGGCGCAGAGGGCTTTGCCTGGTCGCTGGCTCCAGCACTGCGCGCGCCTGCGCCAGGGGGCGGCATGGCCGCCTGGTGCTCGTCATGGTGCCGCCGCAACAGCCGCCAAGTCTCGTCGAGCCTCAACTCGTGGCGAGGGGATGCCTTCGCGCGGCGTGCCCGCCAGTGCCAGACAGGAGAGAGGCTTCTGGACCGCATGTCTGGAACTGCGACATAATCACCAGCGCCCCCTGTCGGGCAGGTGGCTAGGGCCAAATGGATGCTCCCGCTCCTCGCCCCACCGTTGGGGGGCACGGAGCCCAAATGGCAGCATGGAGGAGGAGGAGGAGGAGGAGGAGGAGGAAGAGGAAGAGGAGCAGGAGGATGAGGAGGAGGAGGAGGACCAGGGTGAAACCAACAATTATCAGCGATGTTGAACCCTTCCCCGACGTTCCCTCTCCAGACGACCATAGATGGCGATTTATTGCCCCTGCCGGAAGAGCCCTGTTAGACAACAAACCGTTTGAAAATCTTCAACCATGCCAAATTACCATTCTTGGGACCCAGCGCCGCGAATCAAAGTTCTTGTGGCGACCTGACGATCCTCAATCGTGCTAGATCACCAGATTTGGGACCTCAACACCGCGATTCAACGTGACTGTCGGTCTTCGGCCGTCCCAAGCCGGGGCCCAATGCCATTCCGGGGACGCCAGCCATAATAATCTTTGAAGCATATGCGACCTTTAAGACGACTGTGCGCGGCGCTAAGGCGAGAGCCCCATTTTGAAAAGGAGCCGCCCTCCATCTGTGTCTCTGTTGCAAACTTTTAGGACGAATGTGCGCGGCGTTCAGTCGAGAGCCACTTCTTGAAAACGGCCCGCCCTCCATCCGGGAAGCTGTTGCAATTTTCGAATTCCAGGGCCATACATTGTGAGGAAGTCTCAGGCGAAACGCCCGGGCCCGCCCTACCGACCCGTCTCGGGGTGCGGCAGCGAAAGGGTATGTTTAGGGAAGAGGGATGGAAGAGGAGGAAGAAGAGGAGGATGATGCTGAGGATGAGGATGCACATGAGGATGTGGATGATCATAATCATGATCATGAGGATGAGGATGAGGATATGGATGAATCTGATATTGATGATGCTGCTGATGATGATGACGATGATGATGTTGATGATGATGGTGATGATTAACATTTGGATGACGACAATGTCGACGATGATGCTGATGACGATGGCGATAACGATGATGCTGATGATGATGGTGGTGATGCTGGTGCTGCTGCTGCTGCTGCTGATGATGATGATGATGAACCTGCTGCTGCTGATGATGATAGTGATGACGCTGATGCTGATGATGATTGTGATGATACCGCCGATTTTAATGATGATGATGATGCTGATGATGATGATGAACATGCTGATGATGAGGATGATGATGATAATGGTGGCGGTGGTGCTGATGATGATGCTGCTGATGATGATGATGCTGATGCTGCTGATGATGATGACGATGATGATGATGACAATGATGATGACGATGATGATGCTGATGCTGATGCTGATGATGATGGTGATGATGATACTGATGTTGATGATGATGTTGATGATGATGCCGTTGATGATGCTGATGATGTTGCTGCTGATGACGATCATGATGATGCTCATGATGATGATAATGCTGATGATGCTAATGATGATACTGGTA